CCGAGAGGTCCAAAAGAACTAGGACAGAGGAATAGCCCCTGTCCCGGGCCCTCCAGAGATCATTAACCAACGTGACCAATGCCGTTTCCGTGCTGTAACCCGGCCTGAAGCCCGACTGGAGAGGGTCTAGATAGACTGTTTCCTCCAGGTGCCGAGGAAACTGCTGTGCAACCACACTCTCAACAACCTTCGCCACAAACCATCATGGGGACTTTCATTCAAATCAAAATAATAATTCTGCATCAGGAGTTGATGCTTAAGCCAACATCATAGTTTCATTAAGATAAAAATATTTGACATTTTGAAAAAATAGATAATGAAAGTTGGTTCCAAAAAATTGGCAGTGACTGGGAAAGAACTCTTAAGCATGATATTCCTACTTTAGTATAAGAAGATATGAATCAGCTGGGATTTACAGGTAGTCCTTGCTGAACTTATATTTGTTCAATGACTATTCAAGTTATGATGGTGCTGAATGAGGGGTACTTATGAAGGATTCTCATACTTGTGGCCCTGTGACCCTGAGGCCAAATGAACATGATTTGTGTGTTCAGCAACCAGTTGACAGTTACAATGCTGTAGGGTTCTACAGTCACATGACTGTCATTTGCGACCTTAACAGTCAGTTTCTGACAGATAAAGTTAATTGGGAAGCTGGCAGGAGGTTGTGAATGATGAATATGTAAGTACAGGATGCTGCAATTTGCAGGATTCTTCTAACAACAGCAAGTGGAACCAACATCATGTTTTACAATTGCATAACTTAGCTACGGAGCTCCTGGTCCCTGGTTAGTGAAGACTACCTGTATTGGTACAAGAGCCACAAGCATTTTTTAAAAGAAACATTGGCTGTGTATAAGGCCAGAGGAATTAACGTCAGCAATTTAAACTTGAATAAACACCAGCCAACGTAGGAATTAGGGATAGATTAAACAATGTCCAAAATGGTGTGAATTCTGGAAATGGATCAGGTGACAAATTGGAATCAGGTAAATCCATACTGTTCCAATCATCTAAACATGAGTTGATTCACTGCTTTGCCATCTTAGTGGTGGGGAACCAGTGGATCCTACAATCATTGATTAAATAAAAATTATAAATGTGGATCATTTTATTGATGAAGTTATTTAAAGAAAGTCACTCATTGATGAGATACATAGGTGTAAAATCACTGTAGTTTTGATATTACTAAGGAAACTCAGGTAGGAAAATAATGATGGTTCAAGGAAACAAAAATGGTAGATAAATTGGGTAACACCAGAACTGAACATACCGGTAGGTGATTTGCGTTGGCCACCAGGAGATGGATTATAATGTGTCTAAATCAGTTTGACATCCTGTCTTACATGAAAACTCCATTGAAACAAGTATGTGAAATTGAGGAGGAAATTGAGAAAAAGATATATTCTCCAAAGAGTTTTGATAGGAATAGAAGGAAAGATAATGGGCAAATATTGAATGTATGAAAGAGCTAAGAGATAGGAGTTTTTTTTCAATAGAGGATGCAGACAGACATGTGTCTGATAAATGGGCAGAGAGTTACAGTACCTGCCAGCAGATGAAAAAAGGCCAAAAAAAAGAAAGTAGGGATGAATACAGGAAAAAGAACGAATGGAATAAGCGATGATACTGTTTAATACTATTAATGCTGAATATCTGCAACATGTCCTTCCAGGAAATGCTTCCTGCTATATTAAGATGTTGAAGCAGAAGTATTAACGTGGAAATGTATATATAATAGCTTAATTGCAAAACCTGATGAAGTTAGCTAAAGATTACTGGAGATGAAATTCAACAAAATGTGAAGGCACAGGTTGGAGAAATAGATATAAAGATAATGGCAAATTATTGGAGGACAATTGAATAAGCAGGATGAGGGTTGCTAGCATGGACAGAGTCTGTTCACTGTTTCACAATGAATCTTTGCTTAGCACAAGAACCTTTTCAATTTTTCTTGATTGGGCTATAGATGGAAGGCCTGTTATGGTCAGAATTTTTATCAGTTTGTTTCACTGGGTTAAGTCTATAAGTCACTACTTGAGAACTAAAAATAAATGCAGATTTGGTTGGTAGTTACAAGACCTAAGACTGTGGCCATTCTTGTCATTCTTTAGGTCAATGGGTTAACTTACCTTCAACGTGTATGGTCACATCTCTAACATCAAAGCCATACTGGTTAGTAGCATTGCACTGATATATGCCATTATGCTCTGTCTGGACCAGCTGTGGCTCCCCAGTGTTATAAGACTTCCCATCTTTCCAGCATTGAACAATTGGCGTGGGATTTCCCAAGGCTGAGCAGGTAAATGTTGTCGTACTTCCCTCCTCCCAAGTCAATGTCTGGGGACAGTTGGAGTCATCCATTTGGGGCCCATCTAGAATGGAGAAAGATATGTGGTTAGCAATAGTAGCAAATGTGGTTAGTTTCACTGGTAATAATGGATGAAATGAAGCAACTATGTATTGCAAAACTGGAAAAGCGTTGGTGATAACCTACGGCAGTTTACACAATGTGCATTCTCAGTGGATCCTGGAATCTATAAGGATAGTACCATGCTCCTTCACAGATGGAGCATGGTCTCCAAATACAGAAGTTAGCAGCTAGTATCAAAGTTTGGGAGTCCCAAGGCTAATTTGCATAGACCCCCATCTTGCAGATACTTTGAAGAGCCTTGTATGCTTCCATTATCTGCAGGACCCCCTTTTCCTAAAGACATCTACCCATCCTACCAGATCAGATAAAGTGAGCATGCTCCCAGTCCCTTCCCCTAAATATTGCCATCTGATGGACTAGGAAGCATGTCTTTTCCATGGCAGCCCCTGTCCTCTCTCCTCTGTAGTTCAGAGGCCTCCACTTTCCTAGCCTGCCAAAAAGCACCGAAAACCCACAAGTGCTGGGATAAAATTGGATGACTGCACATTAGAAGTTTGACTTGGCACCAGGTTTTTGTTGTTTTTAATGTTCTAGTGTGTTTAGTTTTATATTTTTAATATGGTTTTATGTGTTGTTTGAACTTTTGATTGGAAGCCACTCAGAGTTATTTTTAAATAAGTAAATAAATCCAAGTCTCACGGAACAAAATTGTCTTATCCTTAGAAATGCTAGAATCTATTTTTACCTGAGGGACAATTAAATCGTAATATTTGGAGTCATGAACACTTTGAGTATCCTGCCATTTTCAAAATTATAAAAACAACCATAGAAGGATTAAGTCAGGACTACAAAACTGAGGGGAGGGGGGGCAAAGTTTTTTTTTAACTCCTCTATATGATTTTTCCAAATGGAATACTCAACATGAATTTTGCATGGTTCTCCTTTATCATTAAGTCATTGCTTTGGGCAAATGGAGAACATAGCACAAGGGAGAAGGATCAACCACTGTTTTTATTTTTTTAAAAATTATGGAACATTTGAGTATCACTCTTCTTATAATGTCAGAATAGGATAGAAATTATGCAAATTTTGCAAATTTTCCAAGCGCTGCTTCAAACTCCTCTTTAAAACAGCACATGCTCAGGTTCCCATTCTGGATCAGGAGCTTATAAATCATCCTCGACTTACACTCATTCATTCAGCCACTTTTTGAAATTAGGATGGTTCTGAACAAAGGAACATACAACTTGTATTCAGTTATGGGCTTTGTAAGGGCCCTTGTGGTCATGTAATAAAAATTTGGGTGCCTGGCAGTCCACCTGTCTTTACAACCAGGCGCAGGAACACTGCAACTTACCCCCACCTGCCTGCTTTCCTCCCCACATCCCACCCAGAGGCCTTGGGCCTGCTTTCTGTCCCATCACACCTTGCTTCACTTATTTCTTCCAAAGATTGCCTTTTCTAAAAGAGTACGCAGCCAATACAACATGTGCCCTTCCTACGGAGACTGCCTTGCACTGTTTGGAAAACCACACCCTTCTGAGAGATCGCAAGAATAGCAGCATTTCCAGAAAAGCAACAGGCAGCCTTTGCCTCACATCAATTGGGTGTTCTTTCAAAAAGGAGTTATTCAGAAGAGGTAAGTGGATCAAGGTGTGACAGGGCAGAGAGGAAGCCCAAGGCCTGAGGGATGGAAGGATGGAAAACAGACTGTGGAATCTGTGGGTGCAAGGGTGTCTCAGGCGGTAGGCCATGTCTGAGCTGAGGGGTACTACAATATGGGCCTGGGCTTGCATAAGGCCTCTCCCACAACCTGAGGCAGGCCACACTCTCCTTAATGACCACAATGGGAAAAGCTGGGAATGTGGTCATTGAGCAAGACAGTCACGTGGGTGCCTCTCTTAATGACCACAACAACCTATGCCCGTAATTCATGGCTCCATTTTGGCCCTAAGTCAAGGACTACCTCTATTCCTGCTTGGCTCATGAAAGAGGAGATACATTTTGGGCAAATATAAGACCCCATGCATCAAGGAAGTCAAAGTACAGTATACCACAGCTCCAGCCTGAAACACATCACAGAAGCAAGTAACTCTTTTTCACACAGCCTTAATAGATTTAAATAACCAGTTAGGTTGAGAATATAAAGGGGTATAAGTACTTCCAAGAGTACTGAGGAAAATCAGAAAATGTATTACTAGTTTGTGATACGTTTTCTGATTTTCCTCAGTACTCTTGGAGGTACTTAACCCCTTTATGTTCTCAACTTAAAGGGGTATAAATACCTCCAAGAGTACTGAGGAAAATCAAACAAACAAATAAATAAATAAATATCAGAAAATGTATTACTGAAGTTTAAAAACATAACTACCCCAATGGGACATATTGCTTTGGATGTCAGAGATTAATTCTCCTGATGGCACCAACCTACTAATCCATTTGCCACTTTGTCAGCCAGCCTTGCATTGGGTTTCCTACCTAGTTCATGGGAATGATATCAAGTTCCCCATAATTAAACCCCAAAACTAATGTACATATTCTGTAACTCTAATTGCAACAATAAACTTGCATCTTCAGAAATTAGCTGGGAGGTCCATTTGCTTTGAAACTCCTTTCTGAGGCCAGACTGACCCCAAACTTGTTGGCCTTCCGGAAGGGCCTGAAGACAGGGCTCTGCTATCTGGTCTGGGGATTTGGGAACAGGGATATGGAGCTATTAAAGTAACTGTATTGTTAGGGAATGAGTGCGCTCTTCCATGTATTTTTAGTGCTTTTTATTGTTTTTAATGGTTTTTCTTGTTGTAATTTTATTATTCAGTTATATTGAATTTTTTTATCTATTTGTTAAATCTATATAACAAATAGATTTATCTATTTGTTAAATCTATATAACCAGAACTAAGAGAAGTAGCGATATAAATTTAACAAATAAACAACAACAATTTTCCAGCACATCAATAATTAGAAGGAGAAGAACACAGGGTGAATTCCTATAGGAAAGGAACCACTGGGTGATAGAAGCAACTACTCATATGATCCTATTTCCCTCCCTCTTCTAGGATGCAGAGACCTGGGATTACATAAAAGTATGCAATGGCACCCAATTTCCAAAGTTTATCCTAGCTCCGTGGTGGCGAACCTATGGCACGCGTGCCACAGGTGGCACGCAGAGCCCTCTCTGTGGGCATGCACGCCATTGCCCCAGTCCTAGGCCCTCAGCTGGGTTTTATAAAACCTTTTCGCTTTAGGCCTCTGCCACCGTGTGCAAAAAAAAAGGTTCAATCAATCAATCAACTTCTCGTGGGAAAAAAAAATCTCGCAAAGTTGGAATTGATTGATTGAACTTTTTAGTCCCACCCAGTCTGCTGTTACCACCGTAGCCACGCCCACCCAATGGGCCACACCCACCCAATGGGCCACACCCACGCAGCACCCGATGATACTTAAGTGGGTTTTGGGTTGCAGTTTGGGCACTCGGTCTCTAAAAGGTTCGCCGTCACTGTCCTAGCTGCAAAATTTGTTGCCACACTATTTGAAGTAAAGATTACTGAATCTCTAGGAATAAAACATGAAGTGTATTTTTTTTCCTACTCACAGAAGACAGTGAGATTTTGAGATATGTTTCTTTCCTTGGTGTGCCCATCAACGGTCAGGATCACTTGGCAGATGAATTCCCTCCCATTATCCTCTTGTTGAGCGATCACTGCATGCTGCAGGAAATCTTGATCTACGTTGCCGGATGCTAATATTTTGGTAGCATTCCTGATCTGCATTTTAAAACCAGGGGAAGCACTGCCATCCGCACTACATGTAATGTTCACCGTTTGACCAACAACAACTTCTGAACTGCCAATTTGCAAGATGGGCTTTGGTAATGCTGTGAAGGAATAGAGCAGAGCAGTGATAATGGACTTAGATGGTTATAAAATAGTTAATGAAAACTGTTAAAACAAATGGTGGCTAAAGGTTATGTTTCCCCCTCCTTTCCTAGATATTAAAACTGTGATTAAGGACTAGGATAGAGGAACCTCAAGTTCAAGTCCATCTACAATCATGGAGGCTTAGTGAAGGACTTTCACCTTTACACTCTCTCTCAGTCCACATTCATCTCAGAGTTCTTGTATGAAACCTGGCTAGAGGCCATTTTTTAGAAGTAGCACATTTGGAACAGCTGGATACCAGATGTTCCAAAGAAGTGAAATGGATGAGAATGGCTGTTTTTTTCAATTTCTGCATTCTCTATTTGGTTAAGACATGTGGACCTCTTTAAATAAATATTGCAAGTCAAAATACAATACAGTAAAAACAAATCAATCGTGAGTTGTAATGGCTTTATGACTAATGGCTTTATGTCAGATCTAAGCTCTGTATATATTTAATCTAAATAAGAATATTTTTTTGCTTCATTCTAAAATAGTTGTATTGGATCTTAATGAAAATAGAATAGATAGACAGATCTGTTCCATTGGTTTCAAAGGGCTCTCTCTCTCTCTCAAGCTACTTAGACTGATCCAATCCATTACTGAAGTTTTGCTTTTCAAAATAAAATCAATCTAACTTTTAACTTCTTCTAGGTTTGTTCAAATAGATGGAAGAAAACTCTTCTAAATCTGTCTGTGTTAGTAATTACAGATAGGAGACTCACCAAACACATTCATCATCTTCGTCACATTTTTGGTCACTGGCCCCAGAGAGACCTTGCAGATCAACTCTTGTTCTCCAACTGAGGAAGAGGCTATCACAGCCTGGGCACTTGCCAAGCCCCCCATCACTCTGATGCTGTAGAACATGGGTGTCAAACTCTCCATGTCATGTGACGTGTCGTGATGTATTGTGACTTTTTTCCCATTGACGGAGCTGTAGGTCAAAGGTTCCCCTGCAAACCACAGATCAAACATGACTTCATCAGCTGGGAAAGCCTCAGGTGCATCACACGTCACTTCCATCACGGTCCCAGCTTCTAAGAACAGGCCAGCATGGAGCAGGGGAGCCTTTGCAAAATCTGCCAATGAAGTAAGAGAAATCATGTCAGTTATCGCAAAAGAAATCACAGCCACAATAGTACCCTCTCCCTAGCCCCTCAGGGGGTGAGTGCTGGGGCAACTGCAGAGGACATCAAATCTATGCCAACAAAAATAAAAACAGACCAACTTTTTTCTCACCCCTCACCCGGAGATTTAGCATTGTCTAGCCACAGGGTGCAGTATGTCTAATTCAGAACTGGGGCAATGGATGGGATCTCACCAAAAGTCCGTAATGATATGCCATGGGAAGTATTTTTTAGGAGTGGTCCTCTTGGTCTCAGATCCAGGGATGTTTGGCAGGTGATTGTCTTGTTGTAGTCATTTTGTTGAGCTCTAATGCCATGGTTCACCACAAGAGGATCAGCTTTGTCCTTTTCAAAAGTCTCTACCAGAAGTTGCTCTTCCCCTTTCAGCAAGGTTATGGTGAGGTTCCGGATGGGGGCTACACCAGAAACCCGGCATGTCAAGTTATACAGCTTGCCCACTTCCATTTCCGGGACTGGATCCAGCTCAACACTGTCTGGAGATTCTGAAATGAAATAAAATGTTCTAAATCAATTTAGTTTGATTAGCATCTGCTAGAAGTGATGAACTAGCAATAACATGGCTCTTCTGTTATTTATTCTATGGCAATTAAGTTCTCTATGCCTAAGTACATATTCTCCAGCTTGGAAAATACATATATTTTCCTGTACGTTCTAAGTAAAACTTAGATCTCTATATATTTATAAGGGACAGTGGATGGCACGCCCTAGCTTTCTCCAAAGAAATATCTTGTCTCTTGCCATCTGAACATTCTATTTCTATTTGCTTGCCTAGTTAGATAATTATTTCCATCTTTTGCCTTAGCTAGGTGCCTGCATTCTTGCTAGGCATTAATATAGCTAATCCTCACCAAAATATAGATTTCCTTTGTCATTTCCCCAACACTTGATCACATATTCTCCTCACTTATTTTCCCCTAAACATCTTACAATGTAAACTATGCAACTGTGACATGTCTTATTTTCCCAAAAGGAGTCCAGGGGAGGAGGGGAGAGAAATGTTGAAGAGTTAAAAATCTTGCCTAAGAAAGCCTCCCCTTCTGGGTGGATTGCCATGGTGGCCCCTCCTGCTGCCCTGCATACCAGCTTCATGTATTGCTTGACTGTTTTAACTTTGTTGTATGCTGCTCCCACTTTTAGTGGGATGGGTAGCTATGTAATTTTGATAAAGGAAATACATCAATTGCAACTGGGGCAGAACAAAACTCTCCTGCATAAGTATCCCAGATTGTTCAATAAAACTTTGTTAATTGCTTTTATTCCAGTTTCTGTTGTCCATTACTTGGTTATTTGATCACTGCAGCCAACAGTGCTAAGGTTTGATTCTACTGGACTAAGGGATTCTTTTGTGGCTTCCTGTTGAATTTGAACTGAGGGTAATTTAGATGCCCAATATTTTTTCATCTGCTGTTACAGTCATCATGTGACTTACTGTAAATAGTAATGGTTGCTTTTGCAGATTTTGCCGAGTGATCCTCAGCATAGCACAAGAAGCTACTTTTCCAGTCCCTGATGTTGGAGACACGGAAGGCTTTCCAATGGGATCCAATTCCAATGATTTCCTTTTTGAAGGCTGTTTCAAGGCCAATCACTTCTCCTTCCGTATTGGCGCTGCAGTTTATCTGAAGTGAACCTCCAAATTGCACCACAGGATTTTCCGGCCAAATTCTCACAAAATCTTTCTCTGCGAATCCTCAAATTTAAAAAAAAAATACAACTTGCATAAAAAATACAGTTATAAAAAGAATGGAAAGGGCTTAAAAGCAATGAGATTTAATTTTCTAGTATTAACCATATTCACCATCCAGAATCACTTCGGCATTATGTGCAGCCATATAAATATAAAAGCATAAATAACAGGCATTAGCGAATGTTGATGAATAAAGCAGGCAATAAAGTTATTATTCAAGTCTGTCTGTTAAGGTCAGTTAGGCTTTTAAGTGTTGTAAATGAATAGTTCTCATGGATTTGATGAGATCGTGAAACAAAGACAAGTCTCTTATCTTCAAAAATGCCACTTTTGCCAAGACAGCCCCAAAGAGATTGGAACAGCATTTCTCAATGTTGGCTATTTTAAGATGTGTAGACTTCAACTCCCCAAATTCTGGGAATTGAAGTCCACTTCTTAAAGTGGTCAAGATTGAGAAATGATGGATTAGAGCAGGGGTGTCAAACTCAATTTCATTGAGGGCCGCATCAGCATTGCGGTTGCCCTCGAGGGGCAGGGTGGGTGTGGCCAGGGTGGGTGCGGCCTACTGGGTGGGCGTGGATGGAGTGGGTGTGGCCTACTGGGTGGGCAAGACCAGCTCTACATTGTTCGCATCAAGGGTGCCTGTGGGGGCCTGGACAGGAGTGGGATAGATCTGAGGGTCTCTGGCAGAAGGGGGTGGGACCGGGGCAAGCGCCAAGGCATAGTCCATTTCTTCATTCCTCACAAAGGGTGACACCTCCCCAGCATGCACCCAGGGGGTGCGGCCAATGTGTCAGGGGCCGGTCCCTTGCTGTTTCCAGATGGCCTTGTGGAGCTAAGACTGAATGCGTTTCAGCATAGATGGCCACCACAAAATTATACATTGGCTCCCAGCCGGCCTGGGCCAGGGCCAAGCAGCGGGGGCCGTTCCCTCACTGTTTCCAGGATGGCTTCGCGGGCCATATGAAATCACTCCGGGGGCCGGCCTTGTGTTTGACATGTCTGGATTAGAGAGAAGGGGACATGCACAATGGCCATCATATGCCCCTTATGAATATGAGAGGTCACTGTGTTGACACAACAATTCTCTCTTAATGTTACTTAGTTGCTGTCCGAATTCTGAGCAGGAATTAGGACATAGCATATCTTTCCAGAACTAAGAGCTATATATTTTCTTTTCTTTATTATGAATACCAGGAACTCAGTTCTTTGATCAATACCAAGTTATGTCTCATTTCCAAAGACTGGTAAAATTGCAGGAAACCATTCAATATTTGTTCTAACTGCTTTATTAGGGAGGAATTATACTCCTCTTGGGAGGACAATGTGTAGGGAGCAAGATCAAACTAAGGAGGAGATCTGCCTTCCCAAAGAAGTGAACTTCAGAAATTTCAGTCCTTGCTGTTGCACTATTGATATTCCAAAAGCATAGACACTTTTAATTCAAAACTCTCCATTTCCTCTGACACATCTCCAAAATAGGGGGAAAACAGACTGAATTTGAATAAATCCAGATTGCTTTGGAATCTGACACATCCCTCTCTCCCTGAAGTTTGTTCTCTAGCCACCAAAAATATTGCTGTAATCTTCACAAGTGTTTTTCATTAGTTCATCTAGCACAGTCCCTGCACTCTTGAATGCTTCATCAGAAATCTCCATGGGGGTGGGAGTGCGGTGCCCAAAAGTCAAGATGGCAATTCTGGCCACGCGATTAAAGCTTTACTTCTTTTTTAAATGTACCAATGCTCTGACTGGGAATTCTCAACACATCAGAGTGTGGCAGATTGGAGAAAGCAGTTCTGGTAGTTCAGCAAAAAAAAGTTGTAGCCTACAGAATGTGGAAATCTTCTGTTCCTGTAAATTTTGGAGGCATTGCCTTTGGTGATACTTAGGGAGTCACAATCACTTAATTACTTCACTGCTTGTGTTCAAATGTGACTCAGAAGGAGTTTCAAGGCTTCTTTTTTGCTTTGCATAATGATAAGGTACCTGTCTGTCTAGGATTAATTGCCACTCCTTTTCCTGCCTGTGTTAAAAGAAATATAGCTCCTTTCCAGAAATTGCACAACTAATAGAAGAATGTCCATTTAAAGAAACCCTTGAGTTATTGGGCTGCAATTCTAAGCTTTATTGTTGCCCCCACCTAAGCTCACAGATCATCTTGAATCAACATGGGAGGGGCTACTAGATGTCTTATCTATGTTGCAACTTGAGAAGGAGACTTTCGGCACTCTCCTATCTGAATAACCTTCTTGCTAAGAGAATAAAAAGAATAAAAAGCGACCAACATGCAATTGAAATGCATTTCAGCAGAGACAACAAGCTGGGTAGCTGTGTTTCATAGGAATTCTCCAGAATTCTTATGCAACTGCGGATGGAAAAGTTAACCCTACATTTTTCATATTTTTTTAAACTAAGTCACTCTGTCTAAATCTCACTGTCAAGGAATTTCTTCTTCTAGGTTGCTTCTCTCATTGATTACTTTTCATCCATTGCTTCTTGTCCTGTCTTTTGTTGCTTTGGAGAATAGGTTGACCCATTCTTCTTTGTGGCAGTCAGTCAATTACAAATCCATCTGGTGGGGATACTATCTATCCCACATTTTTCTAATTTACTTAGAAGTAGGTTGTGGTCTACTTTTCAAATGCCTTACTGAAATCCAAGTATACTATGTCCACAACATTTTGCTGGTCCACTAATTTAGTCACTTTGTCAAAGTGAATAAATTTAGAGTAAATTTAGTGAGTAACTCTAGAGAGGAATGTTTGTTCCTCCTCCAGCAAAGCCTCCTTTCTCAACCTTTGTGTTATTTTCTGAATCAACAGCTAACTGGTGTCTCTAAGAGACAAATCTAACTTACATCTACAAGAAAACACAGGTTGGAGAAGATACATCATTCCCCTGTCCTCCCCAATGTCTGGCCAGCACTCAAGGTATGGGCTTCAGCATCTAAATATTGCTCTACTGTTCTTTAATTAACCAGCTGAGCCTGCAACAAAATCTGTATTCTGCCTCCACAAAGAACATGATTGATTACCAAATAATATTCAACCCACCATGTTTTCATGGGAGATCAAATGGAAGGAGATGGAAATATCTAGGGTATTCTGGGGTTGATGGGAGAAACCTCTTGTTTGTTTCCTTCTAACAAATTGACTGCAAGGTGCAAGAGTTCAGGGAAGATAAGTAAGAAACCTTATTTATCAAGCCTTCAGGTTGGGCAAATAATTAAAAGACCAGAGGGAATGAATGTTTAAGACAAACAATCTGCAATTGCTGTCTCCGAAACTGATTTGGGGAATCACCTAATTTTTTAAGATTAAAAAGTCCCATTCTTGCTCTTTTCCAGGAATAGGCAGAGGGAAAAGAAGAAAATTATAACTTTAGGGCAACAAGTGAACATGAACTTTGTATACAAGAGTGTGCCTTGTTTGGACTAGAATCTGCAGTTTTCTTGGCAAGGTTTTGCAGATTTGCCCTTGGACAATGTCCTAACTAGTAGCCCATAGAATGCCTGGCCCAAAGTCACCCATCTGGTTTCATGCCTAAAGCAGAACCAGAACTCAAAGTTCTCCAGTTTCTACATCAAAGTAGCTCTCTAGTGTGCGGTTTAGATAAGCCTTAAGCAGCGCTGAGGTTTGATCCGAGTTCACTCTCATGTATTCATTTCTAACGCCAATCCTCAGATTTATAAAGTAACTCTGCAGCCTGAATGAAGGGTACAAAAATCTTTCTGACCAGAACCAGCTGTTTCCGGACCGGCCGGGAGCAGAGGGTTGTAGGCAGAGGACCCAGAGAGGCAATTTCCCTCATCAAAACCTATAGATCCCACATTCCACCGGTGACAGATCTCCTCTTCGAACTAGGAGCTGAAAGTTTGGAGGAAGATACTGTATATTCTGGAAAAAAAACTACCGCTCCCTTACCTTTTCCAAAAGCCCAGGAGCCCAAAGCAAGGAGGAAAAAGATGGAAGGCCGCTGCATAATGATCGAGGCGAAACTCAAAACTTAAGAGGAAGGCGTCTGCCCGGGCGCCAAGTAGCCAAGTGGCCCAAGACCACAAAGTCAAAGCCTGCTTGCTGCCGCTAGATCCACACGCAGCCCGGCGCCTGAGCCTTTTTGCCCGACTAGACGCGTTGCTCCTCCTTATAAACGTTCCGGGAAACGCCTCTTTTCCCCACGCAGCCCTTATGAGGGTCACGGAAAACCCCCGATCGATTTCTTACTTCGCCCCCAGCACCTCAACCTCCGCGTGGGGCTGGGGAAAGTTCCAGCCACGGCGACACGCTCCCACGAGGCGATGCCCCGCCCCCGCCGAGGCCATCCGCGCAAATGATGAAGGACCGGGGTTTATTTGAGTGTGTGTGTGTTTATTTAGGTATCAAATGTTTAAAAACCGCCTATTTACTTCGCAGAGGGACTCTAAAGTAAAAACATTACAACACAAAGTATATAAAATTTACAATTTAAAAAGTCAAGGATGGATGAAAAATGAACATTGAAAGTTTATTTAAAAAGGGAGGGGAGCTTTCAGAGCGATAACCAGCCCCACGCGGTTGGACGAACCACGCTCAGCTCCAGCCCCTTTTCCTAGGAAGGGATTCCGGAAGTGATGGCGGGAGAAATGTGCTATTATAGCTGAAGATCTCGCAACACGGGGTTTTTTTGCTTTCCTTCGCTTCGCCCATCCCAGGCGTGTCGGAAGTTGCTTTAATTTAAGAGGTAACTGCAACTCACCCGACTTTTCACCTGTAAAAGATAGCCTCAAAACCTGGCAATCGGGTTTAAGCACAGGTCTGTGCACTAACTGTAAAAATGAATTTATCTTAAGAAAACTGAAAGTTTTACATTTCAGGCCCTCCTCCATTCCTGAGTTGATGATACAACTTTCCATAAATCTTACCCTGATTCACCACCACTTCCTGTTTGACCCAGCACAAAGGCTTCCCATTAAATATGTGCTGAGGACCTGAATGCATAGCCTCCTCCTCAACCCAACCCTGGTCCATTACCCAGACAGCCTGAGCCTGTAGCTTCTTCTCCATCACCAAAGGGCTCCCCCCCCTCCTCCAGCCTGCCTTGCTGGGCTGAGAAGTCTGTAATGAATTGTTTCATGTAGATTTGAGGTAGGGGCTCACCCTTCTCCCATTAGCCACTTGAGACTACTGGGGACAAGCCTCCAACCTTGCCCTCCCTCCCCACCACCTCCTGGTTCTTGGCGTCTGATTTTGAAGGCTGCCTTTGCCAAAAAGGCCACCTCTCCCATTTCTCTGACTCATGGCTGGTAGTAGGGGAAGAGGTCTTTGAAATGACAGCTCATCTGGAATCAGTGGAGGAGAGAAGCTTGGAGGCGGGTCAGCTCCCCAAATTTCATAGAACTGGATAAGCAGCAGCAGAGGGACTTCCCTTTTCCTGCCACTTATGAGTAGCACGAGCAGCAGGAAAAGAGAAGGTGGTGAAGTGGGACTTTGCAGTACCAAGAACTGGCACCAAAAATATATCTGCTTTTTTTCGTGTAAGTCTTGCGTGGGTGTCAATTGCTGATGTGCTTCCCCTATAAATCTAGTGGACATCATTTCCCTCATAGACATCCCAGAGAAACTAAATTAGAACTTTAGAATGATGGTAGATGCGTTTTTATGTTGTGATAGAAGCTTATATACATGTGTGCAGTGTCACAACCATGTTCAGAAAGGGCAAAGGTCTACAATACAGTGCACATTTCATTGCTCCTGCAAAGGAGGACAGATTGGGTGATTGTCCCTATTCTCTCTCTCTCCCTCCCTCCTTCTCTCTCTCTCTTTTATTGAGGATGGGTTAACCTCCACTTCAAGGCAGTTTTAAAGAATGAGGATATTGCTCCACTATGCACTTAACCCAAAAATCTGATGCCTCTCATCTGCCCTTTCTTACTGGTGGAGAAGGTGATCAGCAGTGTCCAGCAGCAGCTTCAGCAATCTTTCCAGTCACCATTAAACTACTTTCTATGTTGTTTCACTTGCTTCTAGGTCTCTAGAGCTTAACTGATTTATATGACTGCCTAATCTCACAAATGTGACTCCAGGCAGTTAATAATATGTTGAAACAATAAAAACATTATTAAAGTGTAAAACACCACAATGGTAATTGAGGATAAATTCAGAAAAAAAGAATTGACAAAGACCTCTCAACAAGGCATCTAGCCTCCCATCAATTTCCCAGATCTGTCTGCCAATACTTCCTGCTTTGACGTTTTTAAGGTTATTCTCACAAATGAGGGACAGAATAATTTATAACTATTTTATGATTTGGTGTTGGAAAAATACATTGTAAAAGCTCTAGAATTCCAGGTGCTACCATGTACTTGTGAATTATTCCTGAACTGGAATTTCTGCCTAGGATTTCATGGGTTTCTCACTTCTCTCTGATTTTTCATAAGTGAAGAAAATAAAAACAGTTTGAAAAATAGATTCATATCAGTGAAGCAACCATAGTTGCAAGAATATATGATGAGTCAATCCATGGCTGAATTTTAACAGAGAACCAATAATTTACACAACTTATGCTTCTCTTAGGGCTTAGCCTTAGGCTAAGTGTATTCTACCCAGACTGCTGTCCTCATGGGAACATCAAGAAAGCTCTTTGAATGTTTTTTTTTAATTGAAACTAACACAAATAAACGAATATTGCTGGCACCCCAGTCTGATTGATTGGTTGATTGATGTAGTTTCTGTACTACTTCTGTCCAATGGGGCTCTGAATAGACTTATCAGAACAGGAAAAGAAGGACTTGGAGAATTGGAAAGAAAAACTGTTTAACTTTCTTGACATCTACGTTAAAAGTTCCATTGAAAAACTGAGAGCAACAAAAAAAAGAGTACTTAAGGCTATATGTATATGAAATTACTTTCTCCAGCATCAGAATGATTATTTTTTTAATGGCAAGAATGTGCTAGACAGAGGAGGCAAAAGCTGATTCAGGTCTTGTCAATTTCAGGGCAGCAGTATAAGCCAGCAGAGAATGCTAACCAATTAATTAAGGTCACAGAACTGAGTTTGTTAACTTGTGGTTAGTATTTATCAAGAAACAAATAAAAGCTGCTCAGGAACAGAAAGCATTTTAGATATTCAAACATATTTGATTTTAAAGCTATTCCTGGCAGATAGAGGGCGTGTCCTACTTTTGCCAGATGTCCTCTAAGACAACAGCCCCCAATCTTTGTGGCACCAGAGACCAGTTTTGTGGAAGACAATTTTTCCATGGACTGGGGGGGATGGTTTCGGTTTTGCTCGCTTGCCCACTGCTCACCTCCAGCTGTGCAGCCCAGTTCCTAACGTTCCACGACTGGTACTGGTCTGTGGCCCCGGGGTTGGTAATGCCTGCTGTAACTAATCCTCTAAGCAGCAGTGTACGTCAAAAATCTATGAGAAGCAATAATAATACTTTTATTAATACTGTATAAGCAACTGAAAGCATTGTATCTTTCTGGCACTGACCACTCACAAACTGTTCAGTCTCCCAAGGCCTTGGGGGGGGGGGTAGAGAACAAGTGGGAGGAGGGAAGCAGGCCTTAAAAAGTCTTCAGAAGGCTTTGAGAGAAAACCACTGAAGATAGGAAGTGGAAATGTTGGCCTCTGTTTTGCAATTAAACAGGCTAGATCACACTTGCCTCGTTTATGGTTTGTGGTGTGTGTGAGCTGAAGAGAAAAGAGGACACTAAAAAGATGATGGTGGTATTGATGGTGATAGTGGTGGGGTGAAAATGGAAAGGAAAGAAAGACAGGTCGTTCTTAATATACCCCAAAGTTGGTTGTGCTTTCCTTTACGTAAATTTCCCTCCGGGTAAAGCAATTGCAAAGATTATATGAGTCAGCAACCTTACTGGACAGCAGACAGATGTATTTGGCTTTTCAAGTGGCCAAAAGCACGTTATACATACAGAAAAATAATACTAGCCTGAAATCGGTCTCACTTTCTCTCTCATGCATAAACATACAGTCTATGCATGTTGGAAAATTTGGGGAACAAAAAGCGGAAAGCAGAAGAAGATGCTTAACCCTTTCCTTACCTGCGATTTCCTGCTCCAGATTGCCTCTCCAGATCTTTCTGCCACTTCCAGACAG